GGGACATGAATCCAACTTCTGACCATGGCAAATATGGAATGTACTAGGGATATAGTAAGGTTCAAACATGCTACATACCATATGTTGTGTATGTGTATATATACAATATGTGTATATATATATATAGCTAGTAAGCCAAATGCCCACATCTTTTTGGGTTGCCAAAAAATACCAGTTTTTTTAAAAAAAAACAGGTATTTCAGCCGAAGGTTTTCCATTACGGATTTTTACGGGTATATTACGGCACGGAATTTTCCAGGTAAATTACGGCTAAATTACGGGTTAAAAACAAATAAAGCAGGTCATTTTAAAATTGCCAGGTATTTTTCCAAAAACATAGAAACATCTGTTTTTTTTGACCCTAAAAAAGTAGGTATTTGGTTCAGTAGGTATATATATATATGATTTATATATCTTATTATCTCAATAAATATATATAAATATGTATATCTATATATATATATATATGATCATAGTATGGTATATAAAAAAGTATCCACAAGGCCTCTTTGATAAATGGCTGACAATAACATAAGCCCAAGGCCGTTCAACTAAGAGCTGTCTGCGTAGGAATTTACTTGTATGTCCATTAAATGAATGACAAGTTGTTGATTTGGGAGTGGATATGGGATAGTTCGTTGGGTTTAGGACATTACGTTGCATCTTTTGAGATATACCATTCCCAACAGCAAGGGGCTTTCATTTCAGGGACACCAATAATTTCTAGAACGCACGTACGGACATGGATGTTTTTGATTGTTTTTGTATGTGTTTTCTCCTGCGTACTGCAAATTCATGATTGGCTTTCAAAGTTGCCTCTCAGTTGTTCAACTGCGGATGCATCGTATACTGGTCAACCTGACGTCCTGTGGGACGATAACATATCACAAATGTATCAAACTGTAAACGTATGATGATAATGATGTATATTTCTTTATTATTACTAATAAAAATAATCTACATCGGTCATCATTCATCATCATTTTCATCCTCCTACTTATATCAGTATACAACAAACATACATTAAATGGTTTTCACTTACTGTAGAAACTTCTCATTGGAAGCCTGTCAGCAAAGACGCAGTATCAACTCGAAGGTCCTTCTGCTCAAATGTGGAGGTCAAGATAGGTAAAGATATGAAAGCAGAGAGAAGAAAAGAGGGATAGGGTTTGTTCCTCCCAGTTTGTTCCTCCCAGCTATGAATGAGGGGAAAGAGTCTCAGCCAGCCACTTCAGCAGCTTAGGCAGTTCAACACCAGCAGACTGCACCAATCCACAAACTGTCCTTTGCCGTTTGACACATCTTGGGATCAGATTGATTTGCGCTATCGAAGCCACTCGAAGTGAATAGATGGTTCATCATCATCATCGTCGTCGTCGTCATCGTCATCATCATCATCATCATCAGCATCAGCATCAGCATCACCAACACCATCACCATCACCATCACCATGACCACCATCATCATCATCATCATCACCATCATCATCATCATCATATCCTATTTTGTATTATCTTCTCGTCTCC